ACTTTTCCACTCCTCAGTCATGAGACCCCTCAGGGCAAATGATTACCCCAGGGGCTGCCCTCATAAAACTGACTGAGATAAGAGAGGAAACAGATATTTACTGAGTTGCAAAACCTCTCTCCAAGGCTTGTTTACTATAATTGTAAAAGTTACAGACTAACCTTAAGACCCCTTTAGGAATTCCCACCTGTGCACAAAGCATCAAGGTGACTGCTACAATGACCCTCCTGGGGTGACAATGATGAACAGCACTGCCTACTGAGCATGAGCCCATGACGCAACCAGGAAGAACAGAATGGACCACCTCCAGTGATGCTGGTCTGCCACCCCTTAATTCCTTTCTCTATAAAAGACCCTGAACAGCTCCCCTGGGGGGCTAGCTTTACTGTTGCTACCCCCTTTATGCATAAGTCTATCTCCTCTTTTAGTAAAGTTTTGCTTGCTTTACTGTTGGGCACATTTTTTATTTCTATGAGTTTGGAATCCAAGAGCCTAATTTAATCACTGGCAAAAATTGGAAAGCTTTGGGCCGGCCCGGTGGCGCACTGGATAGGTGCGCCGCTTGGGAAGCACGGCGGCACTCCCACCGAGGGTTCGGATCCCACATACAGACCGGTTCCCGCTCACTGGCTGAGCGAGGCGCGGGAGCAGCACCGAGGGTTGCGATCCCGTTGCCGGTCCCTGGTCCGGTACGGGGGCAACACCGAGGGTTGCAATCCGTTGCCGGACACAGAAAAAGACAAAAAAAAAAAAAAAAATTGGAAAGCCTTGGGCACCGGAGAGGACTCCAGCTGCAAGAGGCAAGTGGCCACTGGGACTATTATGCTCCCATGTCTCTGCTGCTGATAGATCTCTCTCCTGGAGTCCCTGGCCTAAATTCTGACAAGGCAATGCAATTTATTCTCTTTACTTTTCTCTGATTTTCTGAGCACTCTTCTGTTTGGTTGGATTATATCCACGTCTGTATAGGAGCATCCTGGAGGGCTCCTGGCTATGCTTTGTTTTCCTGATTTAAATCTAGTCGATACTTTTCTTCTTTATGCTGAAAACAGTGGGGAGAACTGCTTTTATCAATTACTGTTAATGGAATAGGTTGGCCCCGCTGATTAGGACTAAGCTAAATTGGACCCCACTGCCTGGACCCCACTGCTCCTCTTTCTCTTTATTTGCTTGGCTAGACATTTAGTTGAGTACCAGTAATCTGAATAAACCTTCCAATCCTTGCATCAACTTTTGGACTTTCAGGTCATTTGTTTAAGGCGAGAGGGCAAGCCGAGCCTGACCTGTCCATAACACTCTGGTAAAAGAAGCTGATAGAGATATTGTCTGTACTAAAAGTAATCATCATCAACTTCCTTACTTTCTATGACATGAAATGGAAAGTGAGAACATGACCATCTTCGGGGTTTTTTTAGTTTCTGCACTTTTCTCTCTAGCCATACTTGTAATATCCAAGGCAGCATCAGAATTCTGAAGCCTACTTTTTTCCTGCTTTTATTTTGATAAAGAAAATATAATGTGTTTCAACTAGACTTGGTCTGAGTATCACTTGAATAACTGAGCTGCAGGCACTGATTTAAATATTTGAAGAAAACAAGTGGTTTAAATCTTCAGTTAACAGCTTCAGGATTTCCAGTCCTTATCAAAAAGTTTTTGTTTTATGGTTCTATTTTTCTTCCTGACAGCAAAAAATACTTCAATCAGTGATGTAGCTGTTGTTCTGAGCAAAAAAACAATGGGTTAGGTTACAGGGCTCCTGGGCCAAGCATGATTTAAGTAAAACAATGTGCTATTCATAAATGACATTTAAGTAATATAATCATGACTCACACCAAAGCCACTTTAATTTCTTAAAAAATAAAAACAACTACAGTATATTTAAAGGACTTGGCAAATGCGATGGCAAAAGAAAAAAGAGAATCTCTGAAACAAGACACTGATTTCATAATGAAAAGCATTATACCAAGAAGCTTTTGTCACTACTTTGAAATGTAATTTAATTCAGCATGTGAGATGACGTATTTTGAGAAGCTCCACTGTGCTGGCTTTCATCAGCCACTTCACCAGTTCAAAGGGTAACACACTGAAATCCCTGGTCACATTTCCTAGCTTACAAGAACATACCAAATCCAGGTAGAACCTTTAGTGTCTACAGACAATCACTATATTGTGGATGCACTTCAGAGATCTTCTAGAACCCAATCTCCACATTAGAATGATGAACCTGTTAAGGGACGCCCCAACCCCTACTGACCTTAACATATGCATTCTGCTTCTGTACAAATCGCTTGCTAAAATAAATGGGGGAATAAACAGAGTAGCATGGCCAACGCCATTTTAGGCGGCTCTGCCATTTTAGCCTGGAAAGTCCCTATGGGGAATCCAGTGTGGGGAGGGGCTACAAGGCTAACCGCAAAATTAGCATATGTATCGCTGGCTTGCTTGCATTGGCTAGATTGTGTCAGGCGCAAAAAATTCCCGCCTAGCTAAAAATAAAAGCTGTGAGAGGTTTCAATTCAGGGCTGCGCACTTTGATTGGCCTGCGTAGCCCTGGCTGCCAGAAATAAACTCTTTTCCTTTTCCTACCACCTGGTTCTCGTGGGCAAATTTCTTTTACCCGTCGGACGTTGGTCATAACAAACCCAGGGCTGAAAGAATTTAATACTGGTGATAATTCATTCATCCATTCTGTA